AAGCTAATTTATCGTATACAAACTTCAACCAGCTGTACTTTTTGGTGAAATTTAGTTGTATACATTTTTATAAAATAAATGAGTGAAATAATATCAGCATTGTAAAAACTTATTGAATGATGTTTTGACAAAGAGTTTTTTACCCAAAATGTTGTCCAGTATAGATTATTTTTTACTTAGTTGATATTATTCTTACATTTTCTTGAGTTTTTAATCACATTTGCATTAATTCTTCAAAACTGTTTTTTGAACCAGGATATATAGCTTGATAAAGCTTGGTCATGTAATTTTTTTTACAGGTTTGAACCAGGCCATGCTTCTTGGTAGGGTTGGCATTGATCCACAATTGAGAGGGACGGACACTAATCCTGTGGTCGTGTTTACACTTGCTACAAATACAAATTACAAATTTGAAACTGGTGAGGGAAAGAATTGTTTTTATGAAACATTATTCTCAAATATGTTTTGCACCACCATTGTGAAGAATGTGTTGATATAGATGTATTTTTAGAACAGAATAATGTCTTTGACATTCACGTGTAAATATTTAATTTTGATTAAATATAATACTTTTGTAATAGATATTACTATATTTCTTGAGTTGAGTGGTGTAATAGATTGGTAATATTTTTTTTTATCTGGGCTGGTTATGACGTGGTGGTTCTCATTATGCTTTTTGAGTTTCTAGCCTAATTATTAAATGTTTTCAGAGACTAATCTAGATTCTGGTAGCACATATCCAAGTAGTAAATTTATGTGATATGTTTAACTTTATATGTTTAAATTATGTTTGTGATTGAAGTAATAAATTAATAATTGTTTTGAGTAAAATGTATAAAATTTCTGGTTTTTTTGCAAGAAGGCAATTTCTCTTAAATTCTTACTTCAAATAAATTAGTTTTTTTTAAAATATTCAGTCCTTCCAATATTGTAATTGTTCTGTAAATTTTTAGGTTAAAATACTTTTTTTTAGTGCTACACTTGTTAGTGATATAACTGTAATCTACTTTTAGGTTGTGTTGAAAGAATATTTTCTATTTTGATCCGAAAAAGGTTTTATGTTGTATTTCTGTTCATGTTGTGTTTTTGTTTCGGTAATCGATACTTGTGACTGAAAAGTACAATTTACAAGTGATGTTTACATTACCCTGAAATTTATTTATATTAAACTATATTGCAACAGGTGAAATTCAGCAAAAAACTCAGTGGCACAGGATCAGTGTTTTCAAGCCATACTTAAGGAATACTGTGTATCAGTATTTAAAAAAAGGGTGAGTTAGTATTGCTTAGTGAAATGTTTTTAGCTGCAGGGTAAAAACTTTTACGTCATAGAAATAAATAAAAATTAATATCATCTTGAAATTTGATTTTTGAGCTCAAATTACCATAGATCATTTATATATCTGAGAAAGTACCAAATTGGGTAACTTCATAAAAGTTGTTTTAATAATAGATTTTCCATAATTGAGCTACGCAGATTTCGAAAATGATATAAATTTTTTTCTACCATGTAAGAATTTTTTTTACAAATCGGGAAGAAAAAAAACTTACTTAGATCAAATTATTATTTCGTTTACCACAATGAACATTTTTTTATTATTATGTTTGTTAACAAAAATACAAACAAACTGAAGAAAAGGGAGGAACATTGATGTCAAACGAATATACATCCTCATTGATCCTGATTTTATTTTGTGTGAAATCTACGTCTTTTACTCTCAAAACTACACTTTGTGGTCTTTCTTGTATATATTTCATTATGACATTTTCTGAAAATTCTGTATGTGATGGAGAAAAATATATATAATTATTGGATTCAGCATACAAGAATTACTGTAGAACTTGTAAACATTTCAAGACAATAAAACTATCACAGGCCTGTGTTATCTAAGAATTTTAATATCAGATTAAGAAAGTAAAAACAAACCATTCATTAGCTGGAAAACCCTCAAACATGACGATCAAACTGATATCTTTAAATATAGATGACTTTCAGAAATAGCATGTAATGTATTAAAAGTGATTTTTACACAAAGTCCATTAATTTCACTGAGAATAAATTTTAGCAACTTATTTAACCAGTGATTTATTTATGTATTTGATATTTGAATGGTTATGTTAGAGAAATTAATTATATGAGTTTTAGATTTTATTTGCTGAGAATAATTTAGGCCAACTTATAAATTTTTTCCAAAAGTCAGAATCAGCTTATTTTATTGATTCCATATGATGTTGTTAAAGTGAAACTGGAATGAAATATTGACATTAAATATCAAAATAGATGAATTTTAGTTATATTGCTACTGCTACCTAATGTTAATAGCATAAACTACCAATACAAATTTGGAAGAAAGTGGCTATTTTTTTAAATATCAATTTTTGGTAACTTTAAAAATCAACTTAAAGTTGTCAAGGATTTTGATGATTAACTAAAACTGCATTATAGTAAATTTGTAATAATATTTTTATTTTCCATTTACTTTATGTGTGAAATGTAACTACAGAGTTCGTGTCTACGTGCAGGGACGTATCATGTACGGTGAAATTATTGACCAACGGGGCAACCAACACGTGACAACAACAATTGTAGCAGGTATGTTAGTTAGGATTATGGAACATAAAGAGTTTCTTTAGTATCATCATTATTGTATAATTTTAAATATGGTTTAAGTATAGGATGATTATAAAGAAAGTTACCAGATCAACATGTCATATCTTACAAACAGTATGTCACAGGAAGGGGAAATTACACAAAGTTCTGAGGATATCGTGAGAATGGAAATGCCCAAATTGTCACATGTTGCCACCAGGGGCATCACTATGGCATGAAGTCAGATCACTCAAAGCAACTGCTCAAGATGTACTGTTTCATCATCTAAAATGCATTTCATCTATGAGACAGCAGACATTATAGAAATAATGTGTTTTCCATCTGGTATGCTGGCTACTTCCTTGATGATTACATCCTTTAGGTCTGGAATTGTGTGAGGATTTTCATGGTACACGCATGACTTTGTGTACTCCCACAACCAGAAATTGGCTAGTGTTAGTTCCTGTGAATGAGGTGAACATTCATTAGGAAAGACGCTTGAAATAATTCCTTTCTGAAGGTGCTCTCACTAGATGTGTTTCACTCGTGAAGGGACACCATCCTGCATGAAAACTGTACTGTCTATCACATGTTGTTGCTGAAGCATGGGAACCACATTGTATTATACGATGCAGCATTGATAGTGGAAGTTTGCAGTCCATGTGTTGATGAATAAAAAGTCCTTAGTCCAAGTCAGCTATGAAACCACACCACACTGTCACCTTAGCATCATGGAGATGTGTAGAAAATGTTTCTTGTGAATTAGTCTACAACAAGATAATGCAGTTTCATGTGTTGATGGTTCCAGAAAGGGTGAAGTATGCTTCACCATTCCATAAGATTTTGGAAAGCCATTGGTCAGTAACTTTTAGTCTTGCCAAGAACTGCAACATAAAATTGACACTGGGTTAAATCTGTCTCCTTCAATACTTTAACACGATGCAACTTGTAAAGAAACATTTCTAAATTTGAGTGAAAAGCCTCAGAAACAGTTAAAATTGGCATATCCAGTCACTGGATGATGTTATATGCACTTGTGCACCAAAGTGCACTTATGCTGGCTTGATTTATTATGGCATGTCTAACTTCAGCAATAATTTCAGTAGGTGATGGTAATCTGCCAGTGTGCAATGGCAAGGCAGCTAGCTCTCAGGATACACTGTAGAGGGCCTTGTTCCAGTATTGCTATACATAGGTTGCACTTGTAATAAGTCATGTCCGTTGATGTAATAACATTTCACTAGTTTACTTCTTTGCCCTCTACAGTGTTTCCTGAGAACTAGCTGCCTTGTCATTGCATCCGTTGATGTAATAACATTTCACTAGTTTACTTCTTTGCCCTCTACAGTGTTTCCTGAGAACTAGCTGCCTTGTCATTGCATCCGTTGATGTAATAACATTTCACTAGTTTACTTCTTTGCACTTTTGTAAGTTTCATGTTGGTTGAATGTGCTACATTGTGATCAACAGCCCTATTTATACACAGTGGAAATAAGACCTTGAGAAATTTGCTCATACGCTTGTTTTTACCAGTTATTTTTGATACATGATGATTTCAAGTTGTTGAGCAGTCTTTTGACAGGACGATTGCAATTATCCATAAGGAATATACCAATTCAATGTAAGAATATGTGATAAGTGAACATTGTAAATAGTGAGTGTAAAAATGTTAAACTGTGAGAGAAAAAAATAGCTAGATAATTATGGCTTCAAAACAAAACTGGATGTTTTACTTAGTGAGCGAGTTGTTGCATTAGGCAAGTGCACATCTGTTATTCTTGGCAATACTGTATGCAGTGGTAAAGTCTGTTTAAACCAATTGTAAGACTGTTCATAGTTACTAAGTATTTTCTATGTTAAATGAAGTGTTTTTAGATGTAATCTGACAAAAGATTTAAGTGTCATATTGTTGTCTGTTCTAAAAATGTCAGACATTGAAAAATAGTTATAGGGTGGTTTTGAACAGAGAGGAAAAGACAATGAAAGGACGAAAGTGGAAGAAAAACAAATCATAGGAAAACAACATATGATAAGAATAAAAGAACGAGATTTGTCAAAAGAAGCTGGTTAGAAGAATTTCTTTGGTGAAAGTTGAAAATGATGAGCTATTCTGTCAAGTTTTAAGACAATTTCCAGAACTTTTACATCAAGGTTTGTTCCTAGTTAAAGGCGTCAGTACAAAATACAGAGAAGAAACTTGAAAATATCACAATAAAAGTGCTAAAAACATCAAATGTACTGAATACGTAAATGTTTTAGACAAACCCAGAGAAACACAAGTTGCAAAGAGTTTAAAGAGATTTGATGAAAATATATTATTAAATATAAAAAATGTGTTTAATGCAATTTACTGTGCAGCAACAGAAAATAAAATATTCAGGAAGTTTCCAAAGTTATTAACTCAACAAAGCAAAAATGGTGTTCAAATAGGGATGAACTATTTGAATGACAAGACAAGTAAAGATTTTTTGTATAAGCACTTAAGAATTTTTGAAAGATGAAATGTGGAAGTTAAAATGAAGCCAGATTTATTAGTATCCTTGCAGATAGATCAAATAACAAAGGAATGATTAAACAGGAGTTATTATGTGGGACTAGATGGTGAACTGAAAACCAAACTAGCTAATATTGACCATGGACACCCAGCTGGAGTAAAAGAGGGATTTCTGAAGGGGTTGAATCTGTGGGAATTACACCAAAAAGTCTTGGTGAGAAGTTTGTCAGAGTAAATGCATATGAAGCAGCTGTAAATCTTGGGAAAATGTCAGGTGCTATGACATTATTATGGAGACAGTAAATGAAAATAAGAAATGTGGCAGAGAATATTGCATTAGCACATTGCATTGTACACAATTTAGAGCTTGCAGTTTGTGATGGTGTAAAGAGTTGTGTGTATCTAGATGTATTTGAGAATGTTTTAAAAGGCACATTCAAGTTGTAATATTATTCACCAACATGGAGGAGGGAACTGCAGTTTCATTGGATCGTGAATTAAAGCACTCTGGTGGTGTTCAACAGAAACACTGGGTAGAAAATCAGAACAGAGCATTGGAAACTCCATTGCCAACTATGAGTTAACTCTGATGCATCTGCAAGACATTGCTACCACAGGTAAAGATAATGATGCACAGAAAGCAAGGGACTACATAAGTGAGTTTTTTAAGTGAAGTTTCAGTTCTTTTTAAACAGAGGAAATGTCTGATTTCTGAAGTAAGAAAGAGGGTGAATGAAATGAAGTTAAAGTCTGTAAACATGGGAAGAGGGTGAGGCAAAATATTGAGAAAATTATAAAGTGAAACTGAAATGGTGAAGTTAGAAGTGGGTGGAAATGATTATGCACAGGTAAAGAAGATACGACAGACCAAGTGAATGCTGACATTGATGAGAGATTAATAAAACATCTTCGAGAAGAACTACAATCTTTGTTTGTATTCAATTCTTATGCATGGCTAAGTAAGGATAATAGTCCTGATGAGTTTAAAGGCTACAGAGATGAATAAATTGAGAAATTATTAAGACTATATTGCCCACTGCTATCAGAAGAAGAAAAGGAACATGCCATGGAAGAGTGGTTAGACTTGAAAATGTGCATAACAAAAAATTAGAAAATCTCAACAGACCTGTTATAGATGCATATGAAAGCAAGGATGCTGAGCATTTTAGACAAATTTTGACCCTAGTAAACATTATATTGATAATTTCTCTATCAGTGATAGAATGTGAAAGGAGATTGAGTCAACTTAATAACATTAAACAAGGACAAGAATATCTCTAAATCAAGAAACTTTGTCTGCTCTGGTAAGAGTGAAGGTAGATGGGTTTACAGTATAATCTAAAGCATTGTGAAATGGTTAAAAGGCCACACATGCTCAGGTTCTAAGGGAAACTATCACATGGCTAGCTGGTAGTTTACATCTGATGAAAATGAGTCAGAGTAAATGTTGGAAAACTGTTTAAGTTGTATATAAAAATAAGTTCAAGTTGCGTATAGTTAAGACTAAAATACTCAAGATTTTATAAGTATTATAGTTACATTAACCGTTCACCATGGACAACTTTTTTCTATGCATGTCACAAGGTTTTAGTGGGTTACATTCAAAACTTAATTAAATGAATCTCTTTTCATGGTATACCAATAAATTTAGCATAAAAATATAATTAATAAACCATATTTTAATAGTATATAAGTTTAAGTTCTTACTTTTATAAGATAGTATTAATAAAATCTATAATTTCCCTTAGTGTGAGAATTGTGACATTTGCTCTTTAGACATTTCCTCTTCTCTAATTTATTTACACCCCTCCAAAGAGTATGAACTTTAATGTAAATTACTTATTATCATATCGTAATCACTCAGGCAAAGCACAATTTTCATAGCCTTCTATCTTATTTGGTTACAAACCATGAAATAGACAACCAGACCCCCCTCTTGCCATGCCCACCTGTCACATCCTCTCTTTTAGAAATTGCCAACATTTCTCTTGACTGTTCAGTACTATATTATTTATAACCAATAGAAAGCCAAGGTTTTCATCTATCAAGTGATATAATATATTACATTGTTTTCCATAAAGAGGATTGTTAATTTCGATTTTAATTCAAGCTTGATTCCCACAGGAAACAAAACACATTGGCGAGCTTAGATGAATTTTTAACAGCTGTTGTCATTGTGTTTTTCGTGTATTATTTAATTAAATGAAAAATTGTTAATGCAGTATTACTTAATTTATTTAATTTAATTAAATAAAAAATTGTTAATGCAGTATTACCATTGGTATGAAAAAGTAGGGTTAAGTGTAATTGACAGTCGACAGCAAAGAAAGGTAAGTGCTTTTTTCCTTGTTTTTCATGTGTATTCTTTATTTGTTATTATCAAAGTAACTAAAATGTAAAAATATGAAACTTTTATGTTAGTTAAGATTAGATTTGGTTAATTAAATAATAATATAATAAATTTCACAAGGTAATTTGGTAGCATAATGTGAGCTGCACACTCACCAAGAAAAGTATTTTTAATCTTAATTTGGAAATCACTTAGCACTTGGACTAGTACATAGAAATATTATATATATATATATATTTACAGATAAATCTTTAGTAAATATACCCATTAATAAATTTATGTATTAAAAGTAATAGTATGAAAACTATAAGAAGCACAAAATGGCTATGAGGCTGGTCCCTGGGACTGAACCTGTAGTGAGAGAGTTAAAAGTGAAGATAAAAGGAAAGAAATAAAAATGTACATGAGAAAAAATTGTTGAATTTATATAGACTCGCCTGAAGTGTTCGAGGTTTAATAGTTATTTACAATACTGTTTGCATTTAAGTGTTTAAAGTTAAGAAAAATTGAAGTTTTGTTCTGTGTTATTTATTTAATCAGTTTCTTAGAATGTTACTGAATGACTTGCCCTGTTTTTTTCACAGTATATACAATGAATTAATTAAATAATTAAAATATATTGAAATTTTAGTTCCACATATTGTATAAAACAAGTTTATAGACAAACAACTTTCGATGCCTGGAAATATTCAAATGAAACTGCAGAGGTACCTCTGGTGGCTTTTGCATCCACTAGATAACCTTAATAACCCTCTACAGTTTTTCTTTTCTATGCTATGCAATTTGTAAGATACGAAGCACTGAATTTCAAAACTTTCTTCGTAATCAACCTGCATTTATCAACAAATTTCTCTTTTACAATTAAAGAGTATACATGAAATTTCTCAATAAGCTTTATGCCTAGGATCATTTTTAATGGTTTTCAGACCAACCCTTTTTTTTTTAATAGAAAACTAGTGATATTAGAAAAAACAGCAAAATCACAAGCTTTAGCTTTCATTTTTTCTTGCTACAAAATCAGACTTTACTGGTTTTGTTAGGTCTAAAGGTTAGATCAGTTAGAAAACTTAGTTTCAATATTGTTAGAAATCAATAACTTCCTGGAAAATCAGCCGGATATTAAATTTAAAAAGTGAGAAAATGTTAAAAATAGAACCAGATTCTTCAAAGTTTCAGAAAATTAATCCTTAAATATTCAGTGAAGATATCTTTTAATGACTGAAATAATTAAAAAATGGTTAACTTGCAGAAAAGTCCTTTCTTTTGACCACTTCTCTCCAGAAACAATAGAGCAGGAACTAGTTTGAAATTGACACACCGTATATTATTTGCTTTCTTTTATTAATGTTTTTAGATGTGATCACTAATTCAAAAGTAACGTGTCTTAATATTTATTTGCAAATTAACACATTAAAAATTTTTTTATTAATGTTTGTAGATGATGTGATCTTTCTGGGGAGCACGAATAAAACTGTAGAAAGTGAAGTTGAGTAAACTTCGAAGGTTTCTTGATGGATCAATAAATCAACTTGAACTGCTCTCTTAAAAAGTAATGTTCTCTCTGTATATAACAGTTCACCCCTTTTGAATGACATTTGTTATTTTCTGTGTTTTTTTTTTAAATAACTGATGAGCAAAATGAATGTGTTGATGTTTTAGGAATGTAAACATCATGTGATAAATAGTTCATCACATCAATAAAGTTTGTTATTCCAATATCAGTTTTTTGATGGTCATTTCTAATTTTTTAATATTCATTCTACAAGTAAGAAGGAACTTGAACCCTAGAAAAACAGTTTATCTTACCAGTGTTCTGGTTTTTGCCAAAGTATTTATCTATACAAGTATAGAAAGACTTCTAACAATGCAAATGTTTTTATACAGATTATGATGAAATCATATTTCAACCAAATGGACAAAGGACATATTTAAAGAGTCATTATTGAATGAACACAGTTAATGAATCAGTTTAATGGGCAATATGTCATTGTTGAAACCCATGGAAAATGAGTACCTTCAAAAGCAAAAATGGTCAGAATCTGACAGCATTTGTGGACATACTTTTGATCAGACAGTGTATGGTGTCCAAGGAGGTGGTGACTTGCTGGCCAGTCCATCCATATATATATATTAAAACGTATTCGTGTCAAAACAAAACGGTGTGAATCAATCTTGGCAAATAGCGTAAATTAAATATAATATCAGCATATTTCTAAACATTAAATGGGTAAACACTTGAAGCTTTACTACTTATGCAGGTGCTCTGTGTCGATTGCATGATAAAGCTTACTGTAAAATGGCTACCCAGAAAAATGATGTGGCATAACCCAAGTGTCGGAGACCTCATCATTATTGAGATAGTTTCTGTCACAATGCAGTATGAAGTACGAACTTTGAGCCAATTACAAGAGAGGAAAAAGCCTGTAGCAACAATTGCAAAGACTTTACCTTGAATAGACTGTTACCCAAGGATCAAGGGTTAAATATACACTCACACATCATGATGTTGCAGTGCAACTACACTGTTATCCACTTAAAAGGTAGGGCTATCCTGGTCCTCTTGTGGTTTATATGCTTTAACCTATGCCACTGATGCCTTTCTCCAGATACTGAACTAGAAGGGAGAAAAACAAACTGATTGCTTTGCCTGCTGGGAAGTCCACTGCTCCAATCTTGATGAACAACAAGGCTGCTAGTTTTGATTGAGGTGCAACTGGTTCATGAGGGCCAGTAGTAGGCAGTGAATATTGTGGCCATGGTTCTGGGAAGCTAGAGGAATCCAAGTCGGATCTAGCCACTGGCCCAGCATGGCCAGGTGGTTAGGGCGCTCAAATTACAATCTGAGGGTTGCGGGTTCGAATCCCCGCCTCACCAAACATGCTCGCCCTTTCAGCTGTGTGGGTGTTATAACGTGACGGTCAATCCTACTATTGGTTGGCAAAAGAGTAGCCCAAGAGTTGGTGGTGGGTGGTGATGACTAGCTGCCTTCCCTCTAGTCTTACACTGATAAATTAGGGATGGCTAGTGCAGATAACCCTCGTGTAGCTTTGCACGAAACTCAAAACAAAGAAACAAGCAATATTAGAATATTGCATAAGCTATCAAAACTATGAAACAAATGTTTACTTAGTTTAATAAACTCATTCAACCAGTGTATCGCAAACTATCCAAATTAGTTTTCTTTACAATCTTTCCTCTATTTTTGGTACTAAAAAAAAAAACAGAGATAGGTTGCTCGAAGAGGAAAGTGTCATCGTTGGTGGAGTTCCCATATCTTAAGGTCTTTTTCTTTAATTTTTGAAAATATAAATTATCAAAAAGAGAAAAAAAAGAACATGAACGTAAATCACAGGAATGAAGCTTTTCCTTCGGGAGTTACTTTAACTTTTAAAGCTGCTCCACAAATATTATGTACCACCTTGTATGGTAATGTAAAATGAACATCAGAATAACTTGTATCCCATATTGTGATTTAAACTCATTGCTTGTTATCAGTACAACAACAACGTTTTATGTTCGACACTGGTGAACCAAGTACAACCAGTTTGTCTATGTTGAATTTTAAGTTGGATCAATTGTTGTGGTTACTACGCCATTACGAGTGTGTATGGAACTAGTTCTGTTTGTAATACATGTTTATCGGCAGAAAAATCAGACAACGACGATCTGTCTTCTGTATGAAATAGTTCCATTACTTGAGGCACTACAGGAATGAGATTACCTGTAATCAAACATGTTTCCCTCCTTACATAAGCAATCTGTTGGTTTGTATTTCATTTCCTTTTGATGAAAAAAACCTAGCATAAACTTCTGTTAGATTTAACTTAAAACTCATGAGGCTTCTTTCTGTGACCTGCCCAACCTTAATGCAATAATATCCTATGTTTATTTTAAATGTGTTCTAAATTGTTTAAACTGTGTGTGTGTGTGTGTTTTCTTATAGCAAAGCCACATTGGGCTATCTGCTAAGTACAATGAGGGGAATCGAACCCCTGATTTTAGCATTGTAAATCCAATGACTTACCGCTGTCTCACCTGGAAACTTGTTTAAAGTATGTGAGTATTATCGTAGTCCTTAAATTTCCAGTCTGTGCCTGATGATGCCTTTACTGGCGAAACCATGGTCATTAATAAATGAAGTTTTCGTGAAACGTACAGTTGTCTTTGTTTTGTTTTCCCTCGATTCTGTAGTCTTTAAATTATTTAATAAGTTTCAGATTCTTAAACTAAAGATCTTTTAATGAGCACTCAGGTGGCAGATTTCTACAATTTTATATCATTTTATTCTGAATTTTGATTACTGAAAGATCTGTTTGTTTTGTGGGATTGTGCCCAAAGGGGCATGAGGGCTATATGCGCTAGCCATCCCGAATTTTTAGGTGAAAGTCTAGAGGTAAGGCAGCTAATCTATATAATAATATGCTTGTTTGTGTGCCTGTTATGGAAATGACGTGTGTGGCATGCATATTTAGATAGTAAGGTGCGCACGCATTACCATGACAGACAAAAACTGAGTCTCATTATAACAGACTAGCAGAGATCTGCAAGGCATTTATGCTCAAATTAGTATTTTTATTGTAACAGTACTTCTTTAAATACACTATTTCTAGAATAATACAAAATAATTTAATTTGCAAGCACCAAAATCTTGCCATACTATAATTCTACTGTCAGTACACCTTATAAGTATGCACAGTAAGTATTTTACCCAGAAAAACAGTGCAAGCGCCTGCCTGCACCAAAGAGCTGGAAAGCTCAATGAAAATTTCACTACAACTGCTCTGTGAGTGAAGAAATAACAAAAATAGGTGGATGTAAATATTCTTTATTAATCATTTAGTACAGTGACATTAACAGTTTGAAGTTTTCAAAAATGTCTGACGTTAGGTCCTAGAATAACATTATAAGTTTATTTATAGATAGTATTAAATGCAATATAGTTTTGTCCTAACTAAGCTAATGTAAAACACGTACACGGTACAGTGTTAATTTATCTCTTTATCGAACTTGGGCCTAACATTAGTTGAAGTTTTATAAAGTACGACCTAATACAAGTGGACTTACATATTTCGGTGTCCACGATTACATTTTGTTTGTATTATTCTACAAATCTTGTATTTAAATAAATACTGTACAATAAAGATACCACTTTGACAGAAAACGTTTTGTGGATCTCTGCTACTGCTAGTCAAATATTAATGTGATTATATTCTGATCACAAAGGAATCACTTGCAATTACACGTCTGGACCTTTTTCTCCTGCTTTAAGAAAACACTGTTGTCTGTGGAGTGTAACACTTAATAGAACACTATAATCGATACAATATTAAATCTCTTTTTCAGTATATGAGTAATATCGGTGGAAAATATGACGAAATGTATACCCAGACTACAATCTGAGCGTCAGCTAATTTGTTAAATAAAGTATTTCAGCTTCTCATATTGAATCTTGGCTTATATTTCACCACTCTTTTTATAATGGCAACAAAAGATGTGTTCTTGGTGACATAAACACTGCGTTTTATTGACATAAAAGATATATGTTCTTATTGGCATGACAAAAGACGTGGTCTTCTTGTCAAAATATAAGATGTGCTCTTATTGATATTTGTTTGTTTGTTTTTGAAATTCGCGCACAGCTACACGAGGGCTATCTGCGCTAGCCGTCCCTAATTTAGTAGTGTAAGACTAGAGGGAAGGCAGCTAGTCATCACCACCCACCGCCAACTTTTGGGCTACTCTTTTACCATCGAATAGTGAGATTGACCGTCACATTATAACGCCCCCATGTCTGAAAGGGCGAGCATGTTTGGTGTGACGGGGATTCGAACCCGCGACCCGTAGATTGCGAATTGAGCGCCCTAAAGCCACCTCGCCATGCCGGGCCCCTTATTCATATGACAAAAGATATGTTCTTACTGACATAACAAAATATGTGCTGTTGTTGACATAAAAGATGTTTTTTTTACAATGATTTTAATACTGTAAAAGATGATGATACGGTAAAGATGATGTAAGGTAGAATAACGAACTTTGTTATACATCTTTGATTTAATCTCATTCAGATGAAACTAATCTCCTTTATCGTGGCTGGATGCACAGAATATTCATTATTTTGATAATTAAAAAATAACTCGGCTTTTCGTATAAGAGACACGCTAGATGTTGGAATGTGAAGATTTTCAAAACTTTGGCTAAACTAGATATAAAAACCTTTGCTTTAAGAAATACTTCGTTGGATTGTTTTGTAGGTAGTAATAGCAATATGTGGATCGTGAGCTCGAAATCCATCACCGAACGTTGTTACCATTTCATTAGTAAGGGCGATACAATATAACAGTCAATCACACATTTTGTTTATAAGGGAAGCCCAAGGGTTAGTGGTAGGTGGTGTTGACTAGCATCTCTTCCCTCAAGTCTAACACTTCAAAATTAGGGAAGCTATCACAAATGGCTCTTGAGTAGCTTTACGCGAAATTCGAAAACAAATCTTATGTCGTTCTACCATCTAGCACTCTTGTTTTGCATAAAAAGTAAAAGATACTCTTAGTGTGAAGTGAAAAAAACTATATTTAACAACTGTAATTTACATACGTATATATATATATATACATGTAATAATATTTTTAATAATTTAATACTTTCTTCATCATAGTATAATAATTTGTGATAAAAGGGCTTAGACTAGACACCTTCTCCCAAGCAGGGCGCAAAACAC